AGCCCAGGCCAGATCTTACTTACGACCTTACTTTTTAAATTTTATTTAAGTAAATCCTTATTGATTTCAGAGAGAGGGAGAGGGGGAGAGAGAGAAACATCAATGATGAGAGAATCATTGATCAGCTGCCTCCTGCACGCCCCCTACTGGGGATCGAGCCCACAACCCGGGCATGTGCCGTGACCAGGAATCGAACCTCGATCTCCTGGATCCTAGGTCGATGCTCAACCACTGAGCCATACTGGCTGGGCAGCACCTTACATTATTATCAGATGTCGTAAGGGCAGTGGGAGAGCACTGAAGGTTTTTAAGTGGGTAGGGAGGGAAGAGGAGGGCCTGGGCGGGTGAAATACTGTGCCTGCTCTGTGTCTGGAGAATTAATTAGAAGGGAGGGAGCAGCTGCCTCAGTCACCCAGGCTGGACAGTTGATGAGACTAGGGTGGTGGCAGTGGCGATGAATTCAGATCTTTAGGAGGTAAAATCAGAAGGGTTGATGAGGGAGAGGGATCTAGGGTGGCTTCAAGTCATTGGTGACCTTCTGAGAGCTGAGATGAGCCTGGCAGCCAGACTGAAGCAATTGAAGGGAACGTGGAGTGAGAGAGAGAAGCAAAGCAAGCAGACAAGTTTCAGAGCTTGAGAAGGTTGGCTGTGCAGGGATGAGAGGACATAGCTGGAGAAGTAGTTGCTTTTGAGGTTGTTTTTCTTTGATGGAAGAGAGGAACGTGTTTATAAGACAGTATGAGAAGGGCAACTGAGAGGGAGAGTTGGAGGGCACGAGTGAGAGGAAGGTAGCTGATACTGTAAGGCTCCAAAGAGAGCGGGAGGCCATGGGATCCAAAGCGCAGGCGAACTTGGCCTCAGCTGGGACATGGGAGCAAAGAAGAGGAAGCTCATGTCGAACAAATCCAGCACCTCAAACACTGCCTGACACATCAGCGATGGAAAACTGTGTCCAGTGACTTAATTAACTTACAAAGTAGGAGATGCGGGCATCTGCTGAGGCAGAGAAGCCAGAGGAGAGGTTTGGACGTTGGGGAGGGTAGAGGACTCGAAGCCACCCTTGTGGAAATGGAAAGGCATGTTGCCAGAGCAGCACAGGCTGGCCAGGCAGTGCCGCGCATGCCTGTTGGAGGTTCCAGGTTGTGAATTTATCAGGAAACAACTGCCCTGTGGGAGGAAAGGCTCAAGTCACATGGAGGTAAATTTAAAATCCAAGTCTCGGCCCCTGCGGGGCATGGCTCAGCGGTTGTGCGTCGAACTAGGATCCAGGCTATCGGGGTTCAATTCCCTGTCAGGGCACATGCCTGGGTTGTGGGCTCCATCAATGACTCTCTCATCATTGATGTTTCTTTCTCTTTCTCCCCCTCTCCTTTCCTCTCTCTGAAATCAATAAAGATTTTTTTTTTTTTTTTTAAATAAAATAAAATCCAAGTCTCATACAGCCTTCAAACTCGTGTACAAAGAGAAACTGATTGGGCTGCTTAGAGAGTTAAGCTAAACAGGGCCAGGGAGGGAGTTGAAAACCAGCTGCAGAAGAAATTATTTCGTTTTTCTTGTCCTAGGTCGGGACTTCTCTCACGATGAAACTTTGGATGTCCCAATACAAGTGGAGCTGCTCATCAAACAAGCAACGTCCCACGAAAACCTCTGCCAGTGCTACATTGGATGGTGAGCAGGCAGCTCCTAGTACCTGTGTTAAATAAGCAGTCTGGACCCCAATGTGTTCAGAGTCGCCAAATAAGATTTGAGGGATCCATGAAGTAGAATCATAGTTTCACATCTCTTTAAAAGTTTGTATTTACTGTGTATGCTCATTGCTCTAAAAAGGAGAAAATTGAAAAATATGGATGCATATTTGGAAGGCAAACACCAAAATAGATTCAGGTTACATTAAAAATGTTTAGAATAGTGAGTCCTCCTTATTTTCAGGGAGTGGGGGATCTTTTTGGATTTTTGCTGTCAATTCTAAGAAACAGGAAGGGCAAAGAAAAAAAGCCAGAGCAGTGACAGAGAGTAGGAGATGAAAAGACAAATTTATGATCTGGGATTGTAGCGTTAAGGACCACTTGGGGGTCTGCTTTGATTAATTGCCTGAGGCACGCTTGAAGGTAGGAGCTTGAGAGAGAGGGCGATAGGGAAGCATCCTCCTGGGAGCACAGCAGGCCCAAAGTTGACTGGAAGTAATAAGTACGTCGTGCACAATTAATGGTGGGAGAGCTCAGGGAGCATCCCAGGGGTTGTCAGACCTTGGTCTTTCCATTTTCAATGCGTCTGTGTAAAGCTTTGAAGCAGCCCAAATTATTAAAATATTCCTTTTCTTTCTGTCTCCTTAGGTGTCCTTTCTGGTAACTGGAGGCCCAGACGTGCCACAGCATTTCTCTCGAGCCTTTTCTACTTTGGTATATGCTTCCACTAAACTGAAACAGTGGAAAACTGTTTCAGAAGGTTCAACTTTGTTAAATATTTTGAAATGTAAATGAAAAGAACTACTGTATATTAAAAGTTGGTTTGAACCAACTTTCTAGCTGCTGTTGAAGAATATATTGTCAGAAACACAAGGCTTGATTTGGTTCCCAGGACAGTAAACACAGTGATACTACATAAATCAAGCCATTGATCTGGGGGAACAGAAGATCCATAACTTTAGAAATACGGGTTTCGACTTAACTCACAATTCATCCTAAGCGTTTGCTGTTAGCAGAATGGCCTAGTCGTTCCTCTCAACGTGAACACAGCAAACTCAGCACAGTCAAGAAGCCTCAGGCTGTGGAGGACACGTCTTAGGATTCAGGACTGTAAGGAAGCTGGAGGAGCCCACTTCGTCACTTTCACCCATCCCATTACCTCACTGGTCCAGCAACAACATTTGCAAAATGGGCCAAAATGGGTGGGAAAGGTCTGTCTTCTGCCTCACCCGTGATGCTGCGACGTTACTTCAGTCCAAGACCCAGACCACTAGGAAAGGAGTTTCTTCAGAGTGCTGGGTAGCCTCAGCTGAGTGAATGCACAGATGCACAGGCGATCACAGTGCAGAGGGGTGGCCCATGCGGTTCTGGGATGTTTCTCGTGAGGTCTGGATGCTCTGTGTTCAGAGCACAGACTTGGAAAACAAGTGCTGTCATGGAGGTGCTGAACGCTAGGGAAGGTCTCGTACATGTGGGAATGTGAGCAAAAGAAACATTAAACCAAGTGCACAGAGTATAAAGTGTAGCTATGTCTAGACTCCATGTTGTATCTGAATAATTTTTGTGCCAATAAATGACATCAGAATTTTAAAAACGTGTATGAATGTCTTCCTCCCCCCCTTTTTTTTTCTTTTTTGTATGAATGGCTTTTTATTTATAATTATTAGTTTATAAAGGAAACAGTTATTCCTTCAACATTCATTAAGCACTTAGTACTAGGGACTGTGAAGGACACTGGATCTGCGTGACCTGATCCGTTTCCTTGGGGTGTTCACCAGGCAGAGATGGCATCATGCAGGAGTAGACCAGTAACTCCACCATGCTAAGTGGTAAGGAGCCATCAGGGAGGTGCCAAACGCTGGGGAAGATCTCTTATGTGTGGAAATGGAGAGGGTGTGAGCCACAGGTGGGGCTCTGAGTTGACTGACTCCACTGGGCGTGAGCCAGGAAAATCATGGAGAGGGGAATACTTGCCAAGGTGCTTAAAGGGTGAGCATGAGCTGTCAGATGAAGCAAGAGGACATTCTCAGCAGAAAAGCGGTGTAAAAGCACAATATGGTGCAGAAATGGCAAGGATTAACGAGCTGTATTAGAGTGCAGGTATTCAGCCATTTTTTATATACAAAATGGCAGTTTCACTGAGCATGACTGCCGCAGTGGCCAGTGGGGAATAAAAAGACTAATAGGAACTGAAGGAAGGCTCGGCGGTAGGGGGGGCAGGATCTGCTGCCTCACAGTTCAGCACAAGGAGTTGATGCTGTGCACAGCAGGGAACCAGGGGAGGTTTTTAAACAGGTAGAATCTGAGTCTTGTTCCTCCTCTGGAAGTGCGGATAATAGCATGACCTACACCACAGGGTTGTTCTGAGGATGAGATAACCCACGTCCAGCACACAGCACAGCTTGACACATGGCATTCGGTCCAACCATATGAAACAAGTGCTCAAAAATGTTAAAATGAACTAGACGAGGCCTTTGTTCTGCCAGGTACACAAACGGGGAAAACAGTGAAAAGCAAGTATTCTGTGAATAGGATATTCTGAATAACGATATCAGCTAACATTTATTGAACACTTACTAGGCCAAATGAATTGTATTAAGGGAGTCCCACCCCTGGCCTTGGAGAGCAGATATACCCACTGAGCTTCCCGAATCCATCTCCTGGGCGGCCTAATGGTGTCTCCCTCCTAACAGGAGCTCTTCCAGGCCTTCAATTAGCAAATGTTTTGAGTCCCCACTATGCGCCTAAACCAGTGGCTGCAGCCGTGTAGATGGGGAGGGACGTGTGGCTGGAGGAGCTGCAGGGAAGTACAAGGAGAGCCCACAGGTGCCTTTTCCAGTGGTCTGCCCACAAAGAAAAGCGATGGGGGCTGGAAGGAGGTGTGGGGTGGCGTGTGGTTCTTCTGTTTTGTCTTTCTAGTCGGGAGGGGTGCCAGCAGACGAGCAGGCTGTTGGAAGTGAACCAGCAGCCAGGGGAAGGGTAAGTGATGCCGAGGAGGGTTACCTGCAGGAGCCAAGGTCAAGAGGGTGAAAGGGGCACGACCCAGAGCTTGGGAGTAGCCGGCTTTAAGTACGAGGATCGCTGGGCCCTCTGGGTCCCACCCTAAATCACGGGGTTGTTGGGATGATAAAATATGAGGTTAAAGAAAAACCTCAACTTCCCTGGGTGGGGAGCTCCGCGCTGACGCCTCCATTCTCGCTTCCCAGAGATCGAGCCCCGGGCGGGCGGTCTGCACATGCGCGGGGCGGCGCGCGCAGGTCGCAGGTCGCGTCGGCCCGAGATCCTCTCGCGAGAAGAGCCATGCAGGCCGGGAAAATGGCGCCTCCCAGTCCGGCCGAGTCGAAGGCCCCATCCGCGACGAGTGCGGCCAAGTCAGGCGACGAGATGGTGCTGCCAGGGTTTCCGGACGCAGACAGCTTCGTGAAGGTGAGTTCGCGGGGCTGTGGGGGCAGCGGGAGGCGCCCGCGGCCCGTCGGAAGTAGGCCCGGGCCCTCGCGGCGGCCGCGCGCATCTCGGC